TGTATTTGTTTGTTTGTGCATGCGTTTGTCTTTGCCTCTGTGTGTGTTTGGTTGTGTGTATGTCCATATATGTAGGGGTGAGTAAGGGAATGAATGAATGCGTATTTGCCTTTCCCGGCGGCACGTCTGTTGTGGAGGATGTTTTGATAACAAGGGCAGCAGTCCATCCTGCTATAGCACAGGTGTTCCTCGCGGCCAGAGCACCTGTTTGCGCCAGGTGTGCGACTCCGATCCCTCGCGCTCCATACCTGCGACGGAGGAGAGGCCGGATGTCTGATGGCGATTTTTAGTCTCGCGATGAGGTGCGCGTTTTATCGGAAGAAGACGCAAAAGCGGAAGGAAGATTTGAAGTGGGTGGAGAGGCGGGTTTCCAGGAATCTGTTGAGTGGAGAGGCTGCGAGCGAAAGTGGAAGGGGAGGGAAGGCGGTGGGTGGAGGCGAGGAGGAGCGGAGGTGTGGATCTCTGGGGTGGATGGTATCGCCGTCATTACCAGTGAACTCCGCCACCGCTGCTACTCCTTCCACCTCCGTCACACACCTACGCACTCAGCCACACGCCCGTGCGTTCCTTCCAGCCTTCCTTCCTCTCTTGTGCCTTTGACCTTTTCGTTTACAAAGGAGAAAACAAAAGAAGTTCGTAAATAGACAAGTAAATGGGCCAAAATGAAGGAATTTAGTTTACGTACTTTTTTACGTTTTAATACATGTTTGATTTCATTGTTTTCGTCGTCCTTGCGCCGAGGAGGAGGGCCAGAGGAGGGCCAGAGGAGGGGCCGGTGGTTCTCCTGCCCAATTGGGATCCCGCAGTCTTATTTTTATCCAGGATAAGCCTTGTATCAATAGTGGGGTCCATTGGAGGGGGGATTTCATATTCCGGCCGGGGGTATTTTGGGACGCTCTCCTCGCCCCGATGAAATATGGACGCTAACCTTTAGTGCTTTTGTCTCTCGTCTGTTGGTTGTCTCTTTGTTTTTTTCTTTCTTTATTTATTTATTTATTTTCTTTGCCTACCATTATCTGGTTTAAACGTGTCCTTGTCGTCTCCTTGCGTCTCCCTCCTTATTTCCCTCCCCTCGCCCCCTCCCCCTCACCGTCTCCTACTTTCTTAAAGCCTTCAGGAATGAACATGGTAGTGATAACAGAGTGCGTGAGCCTATGGCCGCCTCCGCCCCTCCGTCTCGCGCCAATATTTGATGGTTTCGAGTATGACCAAAGGTCAGGTCCCCCCCGTGCTGCCCCGCTGCTGCCGTGACTCATCCGCAAGTGCCGTGATGAATATAATCATCTGTAATCGCTCGGCGTGCGACGGCTTCCGCATCGCGCCCGATGGCCTGTTCGGGGGGCAGCAGGGGGGGGGTCCCCGGTGCCATAGCGGCGAAGGATGCGATTAGACGGGTTAACTGTGTCAGCGGGCCAGACCCATTTCCCCGCCTCCCCTCCAGCTATTTTTTTTTTTTTTTTTTTTTTTTTTTTTTTTATTCGTGCGGGCGACGATTTGGCTTTAACCGAGTCCCTTTTAATCTCCGCCTCCGGGAGAATCGATCGAGGGACGCGCGGAGCTGTCGCCGCGGAGCCCATCCCGCGGATAAAATATTCGAGGGCTTGGAAATGTCAGGTCGGCGGTGAACCTCGCTGGTCGTTTTGCGCGCTGGGAAATGCATGTTCTCTTGCTGCTCATTTATTTCATTAAACGATTCTGTGCTCGGATACATTTTATGCATGTGGGTGCTTGTATGTATGTACGTGCACGCGCCCCTACGTACATATTTATACAATGAGTTATTGTGGCCATAACAAGCCATCAGCAGTTTCCAAAGATTAAGCACAGTCATGGATTTTCATGAGATGTTTGTGTCAAACTGCTGATATTAGCTTCCTTGCAATCATGCAGAGTGCAAGTGCTGGCTCTCCCTCTCGCCAGTCGGGGACACGGGGAGAGCGGAGGGCTGCGGAAGGGATTCCTCGTCACCGTCCATCAGCGCGGCAATATATGCGGCCGTTTAAAGTCAGGCGCCGTTTTTTTGTGTCTGATTTCTGTCGGAAAGCGATGAATAGAGCTGTAAATAAGGGAAGGCTGTGATAATGATGACGATAGTAAATAAGGAGGATGTATAGAAGGTGTCCTTATTTTGCCTGGGTTGATTGGGTTCAGTAGATCCTTATTTTGCGCAGGTGATTTGGGTCAGTAGGAGATATCGTTTTAAACGAAAATCGGAGGAGGAATGTAGTTCGAATAAAAGATGTAGACATCGCATAGGGAGCCTTCTGAGGACGATTCCCTGGCCTTTGCTAGCTTTGATTTTGGAAGATGAAGTCTTTTTTATTTTTTTTATTACTCTTATTGCGTGTGTGTGTGTGTGTGTGTGTGTGTGTGTGTGTGTGTGTGTGTGTGTGTGTGTGTGTGTGCTCGCGCGCGCGCTGGTGGATTTGGTGTGTAATGGATAAGGGCGTCGTGGACTTTGGTAATCTAATATTAGTTTTACGTTTATGATTTCTTTTTTTTTTTTCTTCTTCTTCCTCTTGTGTTGGTGGATTTTGATCGCGTGTGTGATTTGTCGTGGCTCTGATTTGGATACGTGTTTCCTGGAGAAAGTGGGGAGGGTGGAGAGGTCGCGGATGGGCGGGAACTCTTCCTGCCGGAAATATCTGCCATTGTTGTTAGTTCGGTAAGACGGAGGAGCGGAGGCCTGAGCTCGTATTTCGTGTGTGCGTGTGTGTGTGTGTCTGTGTCTATGCGCGTGTATGTATGTGTACGTCTGTGCGTGTGTGTGTGTGTGGCTGTGCTTATCTGTGCCGGTCTGTCTAATTAAAAGTTCAGGGAAGAGGGATCGAGAGAGCGCAGATATCTACCGAATTCCTCAGTCGTGACGTCATTCCCTTATCAGGACGCGCGTTCGTCAGATCGACATGTGCCTCGTTCGTGGCGATAGCGGCCGGAGAGTAGACGGGCGTGGCTGGTTTGCGTTGCGTGGGCGGGAATGGCGCGCGGAGACATTGGCGGGAAATCGTATGCGACGGGATGGCGGGCGGGCTGTAGGCAAGGGGCTCGGGCGGCGGGGTGGAGTCGTGGGCGTAGAAGGGCGTTAGAGAGAGAGAGAGAAGGAAGGAGAGAGAGAGGGAGGGGGAGGGGAGTGTGTGTGTGCGTTTATATGTATGTGTATGTGTCATGCGGTCGGTGGAAGGACAAGTAGATCTCATGTTTGCTGGCTGTGGCCGGTGCTGACCGGTGCCGGCTTGTTTGAGAAAAGAGAGAGGAGAATGGGGCGTGGGGGTCATGTTGGTGAAGCGGAGTTGGGAAAGGGTGGTGGTGTGAAGTGTGGGCGTCCCCTCCGGTGTGGCAATGTGCGGGGACAGCACCGCCCATGACACACAATGGTTCCCGGTTTGTCACGTTACGCCGCCATCTCACTGTGCCACCCATCCCTTGCCCCTACCCCCTCCCCCCTCCCTTTCACCCTCATGTCGGCAAGAGAGCGTGGAATGCTACATGGGGCGAGTCCCAACTCCCTCGCCTGATGCTGGCGGTCGTATTCGCCCTGTCGCGGGTGTGCACACGGGCGTTCAACGGATGTCTACGTACACGAAATACCCAACACGGCACGCTGGTCGCCCTCCAATCTGCCGCGAGTATCGCTGGCAACTTAGTTGTATTAGCAATTACACAAATGGCCTGTCGTGACATTTTAGGGCATCTCGGGGCTGTGTATGTGTTGCTTCTGCCGCCCGCCCTCCCTCGCGCGCGCGCACAACACTGGCGTACCCGCGTGTGCGTGTGTGTGTGTGTGTGTGTGTGTGTGTGTGTGCGTGCGTGTGCGTGTGTGTGTCTGTGTCTGTGTCTGTGCGCGTGCGCGCGTGTGTGTGTGTGTGTCTGTGTCTGTGTGTCTGTGTGTGTGTGTGCGCGCGCGCGCCACCTCGGAGACCGATCTCTGGCATGAGTGCTCCACTTACCGTTTCTTGATAGGTCGACCCTCCTGTTCTCCAGCATGAGAATTACGACCTTAGGGGAAAGGAAGTGTGTGTTGCCGGGGGGAATGGCGGCCGCCGGGCGTGATAACACTGCCTTGACATCCTATTTCCATAATCCGCACTAAAGCTTCTATAATTTACATGCATGCTCGCAGCGAAGGTAGCGGACGGCCTTGTGAAGGCGAGAGAAGGATAGCGATAAGGATAATAGGATATCGGCAGGGTTTTGCACAGTTGAGGGATGTTCAAGAGGATAGGGCGGTTGACGGAGGTGGTGGTTGAGGTTGAAATATTTTTATTTCTCTGATCATCAAAATGATTTATTCGCTTAGAAGAGAAAAGAGAATAAACAAAAAAACTTGTGTGGATTTTTCTCCTCACACATGGTTATTTATATCCTACAGTAAGTCCCATTGTTATTTATATATATATATATATATATTATTTTTTTTTTTTTTTTTTTTTTTTTTTTTTTTTAAATATGAAATAGATGGTTTGGTTGATCCCAGTTGTATGTTTTCCATCTCTTTCCCTCATATTTGGTCTGTAAGCTTCTCCTGTGCTTTGATTCTCGCCTCAAATTCTGGGAACCAGATGACAGATGTAGTTCCCAAGGCAAAATGTTGATGGATGATGCCCTGAGTAATTGTCTGAGAGTGAGGATGCCAACTCTGCCTATCTCAGTCCTGTCTCTTTTCTCCTTGGTTTCCTGTGCTAGTACCCGCCCCGTTCAAATTTTGTTTATTTCTTTGTCATCGTTTTATTATCTTTTTATTTATTTATTTGTTATTATTTTTATATCCTTTTTCATTTTATTCTTATTCTTATTGATCTGTAGTAAGGTGCTATTATTTGATATTGATTTTGCATTTAAAGAATTTTAAATGTAGAAGGAAGAAGAAAAACTAATTTGTGAATACTATTGTAAGTTTTGATTTTTCTGTTCCTCAAACTAATATGATGATAGATAATAATGATCTTATATATTGTGATATTTAATCATTGTTATTGATTTTACTTCTCCTTGCTTTCCAGGTGGCTATAAAAATTATAGACAAGACGCAACTTAATCCAGGGTCATTACAAAAGGTATGTAAAAGGTTCTAGTTGTTAACAAATGTTACCAAATATTCAAAGCTGATCAAGGTTTTAACAGTGGCAATGAAAGAAGTATTTGTTTGCAAAGTAACAGAATCTGCATGGGCAGACCCCCAAAAAATATTAACCAGAAAATTTGTAGCAAATGCAAAAAGATGCAGATAAGCTAAGAATTTGGCATTGGAAACACATCTCAGCTTAGGTTTCAGAATACTAAACAGTAGAATTCTATATTTTACTTAAAGAGGTTTTAATCCATATTGAATTTACATGCGTAATTTTCTTAAATACTTGAAATACTATACCATGCTTTGTCACCATAAAAATTATTCAGACACTTATATGATCCTGAGTCCCTGAGTCTTCTGTGAAGAACTTGATTTTTACATTTTATTTTTGAAACTAAGGGAAACAGCTGATTGACAAGGTTATGTTAATTGTGGGAAGTCAATACAAAACACAATGGCCGAGAAAAATTAAAAGTGATATTATTTCAAGATACAAAGGTTATACATTTTTTGTAGGTGAATAAAAGAATGAATGAATAAAAATCACTTGAGTGACGATGAAATGAATATATGGCATGTTTATAATGCAGCAGTATCTAATTGAATTCTTTTTCAGAGGTCAAGAATTGAAATATGTTCAGATATTCTGCTGAACCTTTTGTAACTCTTTTTCTCTCTTTCCTCTAGCTGTTTCGGGAGGTCCGCATCATGAAGATCCTCGATCATCCAAACATTGTCAAACTCTTCCAAGTATGTAACACTTTCTGATGTTTTGAATTACCTGAGGATATCTATATTATTTGCTTTAAGATAGTACTTCATACTGAAGTCTTTAATGTATAATTGATTATGCATTCTACTTATGGTGCCCAAATGGATACTTGTTACTAATTATTTGTCTTTTTTGTTACAGGTGATAGAAACAGAAAGAACTTTGTACCTGGTGATGGAGTATGCTAGTGGTGGGGAGGTATTCGACTACTTGGTCTTCCATGGCAGGATGAAGGAAAAGGAGGCTCGGGCAAAATTTAGACAGGTGGGTGACAAAGCAGCTTCCTCCGATTTTCTTGAGAAAGTCTTGATGTGACGTAGATATTTATTATATCTGTCTCGCTGTATCTAATGACTAGATATGTACATTATATGTTTTAGGACTTTTTTAAAACTTACTTCTTTTGTGATGTATAATTTTAATAAGATATATTCATCAATGCAAAGATAGAATGTTAGAATACTAACATCTAATTATCATCACTACATATATCACTGAAAGCCTTTTGTTCTATTTTCAGATTGTTTCAGCAGTACAATATTGCCACCAAAAGAAGATCATTCATAGGGATTTAAAAGCTGAAAATTTACTTTTAGATTCAGAAATGGTGATAAAAATAGCAGATTTTGGCTTCAGCAATGAATTTACGCCAGGAAATAAGTTAGATACTTTCTGTGGTAGTCCACCCTATGCTGCACCTGAACTCTTTCAAGGTATGTATTTATTTTTCAAATTAATTAGGATGTTGACTGGATTTTTAAATAGGTTTCTTGACAGAAGAATTATTATCTTGTCTTACAAAATCTGTATATGCTGAAGATAGTGAAATGAAACGGACTTTACTTTTGAGATATAAAAAAGTAAGAATTCGTATGAAAAGGTTCGCTACTGAAAGGCATTCCTCTCTTGTGTCTAACTTGGCTCTTTCATGTCAATTACAGGGAAAAAGTATGATGGCCCAGAGGTAGATGTGTGGTCTTTGGGAGTCATCCTGTACACCTTAGTTTCTGGCTCACTACCTTTTGATGGGTCTAACTTAAAAGAACTTAGAGAACGGGTACTAAGGGGGAAATATCGTATACCTTTCTACATGTCCACTGACTGCGAGAATCTGCTCAAGAAGTTCCTGGTACTCAATCCAGCACGTAGGGCATCTCTAGAGGTATGTTGGCATGTGGGTGGTGATTTTCGGATTACCAAACCCAAATTCAATATAAGGAGTTGTTATTGTTATCCAGATTTAGATTTCATGTTCATGATTTATGTGACTGTGACTGGAGCTCATTGCATTTTGATAAATCTTTGTTTTATATGTGAAAGGTAGAAGAGTGGAAATAAATCAGTATTCTTTACCATCATCATCATTGTTATGCTTGTGTTTCAGACAATAATGAAGGATAGATGGATGAATATTGGTTATGAAGATGATGAACTAAAGCCATATGTGGAACCAACCATAGACCTTGATGACATTAAACGAATTGAGATTCTCAGTGAAATGGGTTATTCTCGAGCCGAAATAGAAGACAGTTTGAAGAGTCAGAAGTATGATGATGTATATGCTACCTACCTACTCCTTGGGCGGAGATCTTCGGATGTAAGTGTTTATTTTCTGTTGATACCGTGTGGTGGTGTATTTTTAGTCCGTATTTGTGTTTTAAAAGAGAGTTATTTATTTTTCAACTCAAGGTTTATTAAGGAATTTATGTATTTTTGTAGTTGATTCAAACTATTATACAAGATGCTTTTTGACATTAGTTTAAGCATCTTTCATGTCATAGATTTTGTGTTTATACACCAGGATAGTATATTGTAAAGGAGAGGGAGTGGAAGAAAAACAAAACAAAAACTTTCATTTATAGCTTGAGAGTGATGGTTCCCGGTCAGGAAGCTCACTTTCCCTTCGCAACACCTGCTTAACGCCGCGAGGGCAGGAATCTAGCGGAGCTGCCCAATCTCCCTCGCACTCCCACCGGGGAGTTCACCGCTCAGTCTCTGCCACCAACTCCAAGCCCTCTCGCAGAGCATCCTCCGGTGGGGAGACCATTCGTGAGTTGAAAACACGGGCATCACAGTGGCTCTCACCCTTCCTGATCCCCATCCTCTTCCTCCTCCTCCTCCTCTATCTCCTGTCTATTCTCTGCCCCTGCCCTTCCTCCCTTGTTGGCCCCATAGTTGTCTTGTGCCTTATCTTTCCTTCTGACCATCCTTGTGTCCCTTTTATGTATATCCACCCACTTGCACTGCCTAACAACCTTGATATCTCTATAGATGTTAGTGCTTTAAGTCATTTGTTTGTCCTTTAATACTTATTGAAAGGATTATTAGTACACCTGCAGCATGTAACGTGTGTGCATACACATGTATACACACGCATGTACATGGGAACACTCCTACACATTGGCAAATGTTTGTACACACTTTTGTACTCACATAGACATATGTTTATACAATCAGAAGATTTTGTTTACCTCTGATATTAAATTCCATATTTGTTCATCATTTCCTTTTCATTTTATTTATAGAGTCACGGTGTTTGTTTTATTATGATTGTAGTGATATGTCTTAAATACATTCCATGTTCATTTGTCTGTAGAGTCACACATAAGTTGTATACAAATACAGAACACAGATTCAAACACATTCATAATTTCTAAACTTATTATTATTTTTTCCATTTTTCTTTTGATTGAACAAGAATTACTAATTCCACGTATCACTAAGTGTCTCACAGTGTGACTATCCTCCTCCCCAACTGTTCAATTTCTGCCTTCCATCCTCATCCCCTTCCCTCCTTCCCCGCCCCTATCCTGACCAACCTAATCCACTGGCCTGCACATGCTTTATGCTCGGCCTCCTCTGCATGGGAAGCTAGGATAGATATACTGGTAACAACACTCACCCAGCACAACTGCCCACCTGGAATGCTGGACACCGCATTGAGACTTGAGAGAAAAAAGGGCTTGTATACCTTGACTTTGATTGCATAGATGTTCAATTCTAGGCAGGCTTTGGTTTAAAGACTTTAGACATTTGAAGAAGGATTGATTATTGTGATAATTTGGATTACAAGTGTTTTTAAGATTTTAAAAAGATAATAAGGAAATTGATCAAGGAGGTTTTGTTTTTATCTACTTATCTTTTGTTTGTTTGATGATTTTGTTCTTTATGATTACTAATTGAAGTGTAAAAGTTTGTAATATTTAATCTTTTCTTATCAGTTTAATCCCTCGCTAGATTTTATTTAGCGAGGGATTTCTATTAACTAATGATTTTCACTGATTTTATTTTTTTTTTTTGTCATCTTCAGTCACTGTGATCAAGGTATTCTTTTCCAATATACAAATGTTCCAAAGTCCCAACATCAACAGCAGAAAAATAGACATAACATTAGGTTGTATTAGTTATAAGTGTGGCTCATGCTTGATTGTAGAGGTATGATTAAACAGCATTGATTGTTAGAACAGCTAAATATGTCCCCCTTAAATAATGTACTTTGCTAATATGCTTGGTGATGGATTAGCCAAAATGCTTGCCTGTCTGAAGCGCTGTAACCAGAGCCCAAGATGTCCGATGTTTTAAGCTCTAAAGATTGAAAGAGAAGAAAAGAGATATTAATGATTAAGATAGCAATCTTAAATATGTTTATATGTAATCTTTTATATAAAGATACCTTCATGTTTATGCTGAGTTAGCCATTGAAGCTAGGATGTATGTTAATACAGACTTGGCAGGCATCACTTCAGGGGAGAGAGAGAGAGAGAGAAAGAAAAAGGAGAGTTATTGATAGGCCTTAGGAGTCTTACTGTTCTTACTACTCCTACTACTACTACTACTACTACACTTGTGCTGCCTTAGAGCTCACACCCACACATATCACTCATGACACCAAACTCCAACCTGGCAGGGGGTGGAGGCACAACTCCAGTCTCTACTAATGCACACAACCATGCGGGCACCAACAACTTCCGGCGGCAGAACACAGTTGATACTGCAACCATCAAGGAGAACACTGCTCGACTGGCTCAGGGGGGCGTCCCCACCACCTCAGCCTCACGCTCGGCAGCACTCAAGAACCAAAATATCACAGCCCTTGATCCCTCAGGGGCACCCGGCAAAGCTGGAGGTATCATGGATGCTTGTTTCATTTTCATTTGGTCCTTTTTTGTGTTATTACCTTTTTTTTCCCCATTTTCATTCTTTTCCTTTTCTTTCTTTCCTTTTTCTGTATTGATGGATGTGTGATTTTTTTTCTGTTACTTGGTTTCTTTTTAGCATGGGAATGATTTGAGAGAGTAATTGATCATTTGTTGAATGTGAGTGTGTGTGTATGAGAGTAAGAAAATGAGTGAGAGTGTGCATGTGAGTGATTATACAGGTTAAGGGAATGAAGCACAGAATGCTATATATATGTGTGGGTGTGGGTGGGTGGGAATTTACTGGTCTCAATGGATTTACTCAGTGTGTGTCAGTGTGTTAATGTGTGTGTCAATGTGTTAGTGTGTGTGTCACTGTGTTAATGTGTGTGTCAATGTGTTAGTGTGTGTGTCACTGTGTTAGTGTGTGTGTGTCACTGTGTTAATGTGTGTGTGTGTGTGTGTGTGTGTGTGTGTGTGTGTGTGTGTGTGTGTGTGTGTGTGTGTGTGTGTGTGTGTCCGTGTGTAAGAGAGAGAGAGACAGTGAGTGAGTGAGTTCATGTGAATGAATTAGTCAGAGAGATGGTATACAAGATGTCTTCTACAAAATTCCTTTACCTTTTATTCTGATGTGGAAAATATAAGGCTTGCCTTTATTTTGATTTGTTTGTATTTGTTTTGTTTTCATTGGTTGGCCTATTTGTGCATGTTCCCCCTGTGTTTTATGGATTGACCAGGAAATTATCTCTATATATATTTTTATATATATATAAAGGTGTATTTATTAAGCAGCATTTTTTCAGATGACAGATCACAATAAGTGAAGAAAAATTTGTCATACTTATCCTACAGGATACCAATTACAATAAGAAACATTGTATTGATATAACCAGCTGCTTGTAGGTTTTATATTTAAGTGGATATTGTGTTTTTATTGCTATTATGAAGGTATATCTTACCAGTTTTTCAATTGTATTATAAGGGTATATTTTACCAGATATCTGAAATTAAAAAAAATTAACAAAAACTTCAGATGTACTAGAAGTAATGAATAATGGTGGTGGGTAGGTAGCTATTGCATGTAGGTGTTTATCAGGGAAAGATAAGAAACCTTTATGTATTGGGTGTTTATTGGGTATAGTTGTACATTAGGCACATTATAGAGCATTTTAAAGAAATTTTGGTTTTGGCAGAGAATCTTGCAAATGATTACACACAGGCAAGGGTGTATAAAGTAATGAAAATTTTCATATTCTTTCTTCACAAAACTATTTATGAATAACACAACTTGGTAGTTTATGAATGCAAAGGTCTAGCTAGCGGGACAGAGTTAGTTATCAGGGTCCTTATTCAGGGTAAACTAATGCAGAACCCACTTACTGAAAGCCTGAAATTTAAAACACATTTGTAAGGTAGGAGAAATACACCTGTAAAGACCCTTGTTTGGATATTAGTGTTGCATACCCTTATATGAAATCCGAATGACTGTCAGGCAGAATATGCACAAGGATGAATGTATCTATTTTATTGGTCCAGTTTTCATTTGTGCTCCCTTTGCATTGTGTGTGAGAGACAGTTTGGAAGAGCTGATTGATGATGGTCTGTTGAGTGGAAGGGCTAGTAGCTAAGAGTTATATTTTACTAAGTTAGTTGTGATATTAGTTGATATCCATCTTCAGAGCTTTTGAAAAAAAAAAAAATGTATGCATGATATGTCCAGCTGATTGTTGTTTGAACTTTAAAAAAAACATCCAGAAATGTATGAGACATGTCTGCTTCAAGTCACAGGTTAACCACTTGTATTGAGTATTGTGAGGCTCCTGGTTGACAGGCTTCAACAGAACTCTGAAGCTCTCATAACTGTTCTGAAGACATTGGTTGTAGCTGAACCATGAAAATAGGCAACATAACACACAATTGCTGTATGACATGAGATTGAAGAAGCAAATGGATAGTTTTAACAGAAATAATTTTTTTTTATCATATTCGTTAATTTTAAACCCTTGTGTAATGTAGATACCCTAAGCAAGGTGAGCTCTAAGCAGGCCTGTAGATTTCTTACACTGAAAAGTTCTCTCAAACATAGGATTGATTTTAGGATAAAATTTTAAATTTTAGGTGAAAGATGAACAGATGATCATCTTCACAGTAAACTTTATTTTTTATTTAGATCAGGTGATAACCATACCATCATATTTTCAAATATATGTGCTATAGGTGGCAGAATTTCTAGTTCAAATAATTTTGATGCATTTAAAAGAGATGAAAGGCTCTTTCTTGTTCAATTTCAGTGTTAAATTAGGTGATTATTCATGTCTATAGGTAAATTTATAAGCAAGGAATACATGCTTCAGGTGTTCAGTTATAGCATGTCCGATTTGCATGTGGCTGTTACTGCAATGGGTTGGATATCAAGTAGTAAGAGGATAGTGCATTATATCTTTGTGAAATCTCCTCCAAGAGAAATTTCCCTTTTTTTCTATCCCAATCTTTTGCGTGTGATAGAAGTATGATTGAGTTGAGGAAGTACCACAGGTGACTGTATTGTAAAAGGAATGATGTTATTATTTAGGCTGGTTGGTGATGTTAACATGCTGTTATATACATGCATTTAAAGCCTGGAATGCAAGTGCAATTCAAATGTGTAATATGTATTTGTTATTCTGAATTGCTTGGTCTTCGTATAAGCACTGATATTGAATAACAAGTCTTACAAGTCGGTAGTGTCCAGATACAATTAGCATTCATAGTCTAATCCAGTTTGCAAGGTTCAGTCCTCAAGAAAGTTGAACCATTAGTTACTTTTTTTCCCAAAGTCAACTATGTGATACAGTATACTAATATTACTTGACTTGATCAATGTATGATAGGGAAATGTTTAGCTTTAAATTTGTGTGTTTGTTTCAAATGAATGTTTCTGTTGGTGTGTATGTACCACTGTGATTGCTTGTATAATGAGTACATTTAAGTCTGTACACTATATATACAGTACATATATAGTTACATAATTATGTACACATGTTTGGGCACACAGATACAATTTAGAAGTCATTGACATTCACATGCAGAAAAAAAACAAAATACATTGAAACTATGAGTTGTAGCATAGGTTTAAAGATATAAAACAAAGCTAGTCAGATAAACTGTACATGCTGGTATCATGATCTGATTTTTAAAATATCCTGTATGTGCTTGATTTTGCATCAGCAGGCACATCACAGAAAGGAATGGAAACTTGCTGAGTCACTGGCTTGGTTTGATTTTTAACTCTCAGGAATGTGATGCATCATCAGATCATGGATGTGAAATTAGCATGGAGTTGTTATATCAGCTGATTAAGAGAATAGTGTAATAGGTATGTGTATATGAAACAAATAACTGTGTATCCTGATATCCACATTAGTTTTGAGTATTTGATTAAGGATTTTTTTTTTTTATCATAATGGTACGTCTCATATTTCTCAATGTTTTCTTCTCACTGTTATGCTCTTTTCTTCTCTTTTCTTGATTTTTTTTTTTACCTATCTCTCTTATTCTGGTCTTACAAACAAGATTTAAGAGTGTGGATCTAGTGGATAATACAGTTTATTCTTAAATTGTGTCAGTTAGGCTTTAAATAACTACATCTTTCAGGAATAAAGAGAGAGAGAAAGAGGCATGGCACTGTGAAATAATATATTTCATGATTTTTGTATTTTTCTTTGGCCAACAGGTGCAGGTGCAGCAACCAGTCCTGGTGTAGGGAAATCTCGGGTACAGAAGAGTAACACCATGACCAATAGACCCATAGGTAGTGGCTCAGCACGACGCTCAACGTACTCCTATGATGCCAATAAGGCCTCCTCAACAGAAAAGACAAACATAACAAACGTTCCAGATTCTGCTAGGTATGTACTCTGAGACTTTTTCGGTATAAATATATAACCTTGCAGTGTGTCCCATTGTATTTAATTAACTTTAAGAAAAAAAAAATCTTCACTGATTTCGTATTCATTGATGTCCACAAAATTTAACCTTGAAACGATATGGATAAAGAGACAAACTTTTGAAAAGATGGGACTCGCTTGAGAATTGTCTTGAATTTGGATGT